TTGTTCACTTTTGTGAAACTCCCTGATGAGCGAATGGGAATGAAACTATTAGTTTGGGATGATAGTTTGTCAGTCTCCCATTTGGAACTGAGAAATTTGGATCTTGAGAACTCAAATCAGGCATTGGCATTTCCTATTGGATTTACAAGGGGTTTTGGGTTGAAAAAGAAGTGTATAGAGTGGTTGAATGAGTGGCAAAAGTTGCCGTGTACTAATCCTTACATCGATGCTTCTCATTTGGATCCAAGGACAGATGTCTCAGAGAAGAGGATTGTTGGCGTGTTTCACGAGCTTCTGCACCTCACAATTCTAAAGAAGTCCGAGAGGAAGAATGTGAGTAATTTGCGTAGTCCATTGGCATTGCCTCAGAAGTTTACAAAGGTGTTCGAAAGACATCCAGGGATTTTTTATATATCAAAAAAAGGGAACACACAGACTGTTGTACTCAGAGAGGCTTATGACCGTGATCAGCTCATTGAGAAACACCCTCTTGCCGATATTAGGGAAAAATACGGGAGCATGATGAAGAAGGGATTTTTAGATAGGAGTAGAGGATTATATAAGAAAGAGAGGAGAAAAGTTCTCAAAGATGATATGGTGAACTTAGGTATGATTTTGAATCTGAAGAGGAGATGAATGGTAATTTGATTTCAGAATGTGACTCGGATGAAACTGGCAGTGATTATAGTCTATAGATGAATTAAGCAATAGTCTTGGCATTCATGGGGTGACACATACCCATGAAACGCCATCCAGTTTCCTAGTTCCTGGTTCACCGTTATGCTTGAGCTTTTTGTGTCTCAGTCCATTTCCAGCTCCATGCAGTCAGGTTTGTACCGACTCCAGTCTCCTCCTCGCTGTACGGCCTTCCCTCATTTGTGTATCACAAACCTTGTGAATTGCCAAGGTCTGATAGGAATTTTATTAGACGTATTTAATGTGTGCATACAGTTGAATTCATAGTTTGTTTATCAAGTTAAAATGTACTAAATCATTGTGCAAGAATGTAGGTGAATCCATATCTTCTTTGCCCGAGATATAGGAAATATCGGATTAATCTATCAAGTTGTCGGCTTCTGCGCTCTTAACAATCCACGGACTGTTTACACTTGTTGGGACTGCATGTGTTACCATGGAAGAAGCTCGAGGATATCTTCACACTGGATGCTGTCATGCTGTGAGGAGTCGAATTTGCTAATCAGGACTAGAGAAAGAAGACTTAAAATGAAGTTGAAATTTTTGAGAGGAATTAGCCTTCTCTTGTAACCATCAACATGTTTGTATTAAGAAATTTGTGTTTCATGGCTTGGATGCTGAAAAAATATAGAATGTTTATCAAGCAGAACACATATTTTCAAGTAAGGATTCTACTTGGAAAAAGTCAAAACAGCATACTTTATTGATTTACACTTTTAGAGGATACACTAAGGGTCAGTTTGATTGTAAAGATGAAATTTGGGTGAAAAGTAAACGAATTGAAGGTAATTGAATTGCCTAAAATTTGTTTTAGTGGGAATTGTCAATTAATAGTGTTTGATTGGTATATTTTTTTACCTGAAAAATGTTAAAATAAAAGTAATTTTTGGTATTCGTTTGGATTTATTTTTCATGGAAATTATTAATTTAAGGGATGTTTACTTCTACATCGTTTTGATTTATTTTTCATGGAAATTATTAATTTAAGGGATGTTTACTTCTACAATTGTTCCTAGAATTTGTTTCCATTGGGAAAAAAAAAAAGACTCTATTTTGGTTTTCGTAGGGATGTCAAACGGGCTGAGCGGCTCGTCGACTCGACCGTCAAAACCCTGCTCGTGGTGGCTCAATCCCACGAGCCGAGCAAACTCGGCTCGTCGAGCCCACAAGCGGCTCGTGGGTAGCTCATGGGCTCGTAAAAAAATATGAATTTTTTTTTAAAAAAAGTTCAAAATATGCAAATTTACCCCAAAAAAAATAATAAATAAATCACGAGCTCACGCTCTCGTGGCTCGTGAACTCACGAGCTCGTGGGCCGAGCCAAGCTCGCTCCCGAGCAACGAGCCGAGCTCGAACTCGGCTCGTCTTTCACTCGCCATGAGCTTGAGTCGAGCTCGTGGTTAAAGGGCCGAGCCGACTTGGCTCAACTCGACTCGACTTGGTCCATTGTCATCGCTAGGTTTTCGTTTAACTTTGTTTTACATAAAAATTGTCAATTTAAAGGATATCTTATTTTACAATTGTTTCTAAAATTTGTTCTCATAAGCCCCCTCCCCCGCCCCCCCACCTCCCAAAAAAAAATATATATATATTGATTTTCCATCAAATCATGGAAAATGCAAGTGTGTGGGGGGAAAAGATGGAAAACGAATCTAATAAAAACCTTTTGTTATAACACACATAAAATAGAACTCATTGAAATTGTGTCAATCAAACATGGCCTAAGAATCAACGATAAGCCAAAAGCCCCCTGTACTATCATAATGTACAGGGTAACATTCACAAGCAGTCTTGAGAGAAATTTCATTAAGGTCATTAAACTCAAATTTTTCTTACTTGAGTCGATGACATTCGGCTCCCATTTGGTTTGAATTAAAATCAACAATTAATTTTAACAACATATTTTATAAAATTCACAATTTTTCAACTACATATTTTGTCAATTTTTATCAAACTCTACTAAACATTTGATTTTAATCTACACCTTCAATTTAGTTTCAAATATCATCAATGTGTTACGATGCTTCACGTGTTATCTTCCAAACTGACAAAAATTGTTCGTTGACAATCATCATCATCCATTTTCAATGTAACAGTAACGTGACACCCTAAAAACAAAAATTGTAAAATAAGGATTATCATGATTTCTAAATTAAAAGTTGAAACACATTTTATTTATTTATTTATTTATTTTTGCAATTTGAACACTTTCATGACGTAACACAGTGGTAAGTTAGCATGCCAACAATTACATAAAAAATTTGCAACATTATTCAGTTAAATAATTTTCAACAATTTGGAAGACAACAATTGACATACCCAAAGCGCTCAGCCAGCCTCCATTCACCACCCCATGCCACCAACCGCAAAACAGAACCACCGCTTATCCCCCATGACCACTTCCCGCAATCACCTTCACTCTCGTCTCTTACCAACCACCACAAATAGTTGTTCGCATAACCTAATTACCATCACAACCGAACATGCACTATCGAAATATTAAAATGCAACACGTGAACTACAATTCTGCCTGATGTAAAAACCCGCAACAAAATGCAACCAGCAGAACCCTTGGACAAGAACTGCACTATAAATTATTCAAATCCTCCATACTTTAATGGTAATGTTGCTACTTCTAACTCGAAGAATTCTTTCTTGCAGCATAAACACGATAAGCAGCCAGCCCAACAATGGCCACAGCAGCCCCAACTGCAATATAAATAATATTAGTGAGACCATATTGAACAAAGACGTAGAAGTGCTATCATTCATGCAGGATATGTTCTGGACAATATGTCTTTGGAGTTGGAGGTTGAAGTAATTACGCTTAACATTCACGAGTTATTTGCATCCAATGGCATAGATACTTAGTAGTCTCAGTATTGTAATTCAAAGAAAAGTTTAGAGCATATTGATTTAGTATCTGAACAAATTCCAAGATAAAAGAAGAAGATACAAACTATTTTAAACACCCATGTTTACGGCCTCAAAGCCTTCTGAAACTAATAGGCCATACATAGCTATAGAACTCTGAACTCCCAAAACATTTTGTAAGAAATGAAATTATAAGAGCTGCACAAATTGCAGCTACCAATAAGTTGTAAGAGATTAACAGCTAACATCCAAATGGACATAATATAATGCCAGTAACCAAAGTACCTGATACAAACAAGAGGGAACGATTGACAAGCCTGTGATACTGCTTACGGCTTTTCCCTGCGGCAGTTTCAGGAATGCTCATATGAGGGTTCATGGCTGCATTTACAATCCTTTGAAATAAATTACTGAAATCTCCTAGCTTCGCGCTGACAGGTATAGGAGTCTCTATTCCCATGTCCTGGCTTACCTATTAAATAGCATAGATTTGGCAAGAAGTTAAGAAGCAACAATTTAGCAAAACGGCAATTTCAACTCCGCTCTAGGAAGTTCATGGTGCATGGTCCATCATACTAGGTCCACATATATAAAAATTCCACTGGCTAAACACTGAAGACTCCTTAACTGTGCATAATGGAAATGGGCTGACAACCAAATCAAACATCGTGTTACAAGTCCCTTGCAAACCCACCCCATCAATGAGAAAACAGAGAAACTGTTTACTCAGTTTTGCTAACGTGCTGACTGTGAGTTATCCTAACAGTCAGATTTCATAAATGCAAAAACTTTTTGTTAAAGAGATCCTCAATCATGCTCAATGGGGAAGATTTATACCCGTGTCGAATCTTGAATTTCAGTCAAATAAGGATCAAGATCATCCTTATTGGCAACGATAAGGCAAGGCATCTCATAGCCACTCGTTTCCCCTTGACTAGCAACATCCACAAGCATCTCAGTTGCTTTCTGCCATGAAGCTTCACGAGAACTGGACACGCAAGACCACCAATGCATGAGATTAACAGTATAATATAATAGGTTTTCAAAATGGGTACTCTTGGCTATTGACAAATGGACAAAATTGTGAAACTAAACCAAAGTTATTCTAAAATATATAATGTGAAGGGTATAATTAAATGATAGAAATGTCATGTTGACTGATTATGATACAATGTAGCACCTGATTACTTACTGTAATCATGAAAAAAGAATAAAATCAGATATTTTTTGTAAAACAGACCTTGACCTTTAGAAAATGAACACAAAACAACAGGGTTAATCATGTTCCCTTTATCAATATATCAGTACATCTCTCTTGATGCCTTCCTTCTATCAACCATGATCGTGAGCATATTCTTGTTAAATAACTCATGACCACTATCCTTCCAAATTAACACAGGACTCCATTCTATATTAGCAAACTTTGGTAGGGACAAGTGGGGGAAGTTATGGAGGCATTATTCTCCGTTTGCAGCACTTGATTGTATTCATTTGTTTACTTTGGGCTTTTCAATTGGTCACCCCTCAAAATATAAATGCCTAAAAACCCTTGCTTGAATGGAATTTAACCCAAAAAAATAATATCTGTTGAAGTCCTATAAATGTGCTAATCATATATGCATCTTTTACCATATCAGTAATTTGAGAGATCAGACAATGAAAGAATAACATTGAACATGATTTCAAAAAAAAAAAACAAAAACAAAAAAAAAAAAACAAAAAAAAAAAAAAAAAAAAAAAAAAAAAACAA